TTTAGATTCTCGGACAAAGTAAAAATATGATCAGGATCAACGGATTAAACTGAGAGGGAAAGGGACCTTACTGACTGTTCGCCTGGGGCTCAAACACAAAGCAGATGGGCAGGTGATCGTCACACCGAAATGACTTTGGATACTGTTGAGCGCAAGACGCATATAATGTGAGCCTGTGACCCACTCAACAGCGTCTTGCCAGAAGAATAATTCTGTTTAAGTTTAAATCTTAGGCCTGGTTGGGCTGGATATGATTAGTTATCGAAAGTAAAAAGAACAATAACGATCATTGTCGATACTAACCCACTGTGTAGACCGCTACCAAAGAGAATGAATGCTGCTTTCACGGACTCGAGTTCACAGCGTCACGAACTAGTGTAGTCAATGACATATGAACGTAAACTTCCAGCAGTTGCAGCCCAATCGGATATCCATTACTGATCCTCTTCGGTTCTGATCTGGTGGCACGAGCAACTCCATCAGGAACTCGAAGAGGTGGCGTTGCGAAGGCATTCTTCTTCGTGTCGGAGAAGTGCACAACCAAGTAATCTGCGATATCTCTTATTGCAGCACAGGAATTACCCGCTGGTATGCGGGACGTATCAATTGATAAACTTCTCAATGTTCCTTAGAGCAGGAGTCTACAGGCGGTTCAAGTCTAGTGGATGCAGAGTAGGATGGCTTTAACCGAGGCGTTATGTACTAGGACAGTTTTTTTGCTATTGAACCTCGTAACGAGGCTTCCAGGCAATTAGTTTAAGGGACGTGTTCTAGGTAGGTTACTTTCTTCCGAAGATAGCATAGAAGAACTTCGAGAGCTTTAATTATTCACGTAGGTGGGGAGGGGGGACATTTCCAGCGGCAACCCCCCACCCCTAGCCCAGTGGTACTCGAGTTTTTCTAGCGTTCATTTCAATGTAGACTTTGCCGAAGCAATGATTATACGGCCAAGGGTGTGACTGTGTTTGCTCAAAGGAAACCCCAAGAGAGTTGATGCTGTGCCCACAAGTAAGCTACGAGAAGAGACTTTGTCCAGCCTGACAGCTCGCGTAGGCCTGGATTGTTGCGAGCATTATGAAAAAAATACAACTCGCTCACACGTTTATGCACATGAACTAACGAGGTGTTTTGTCAGTTTCGGGGGCAAACCAATAGCTCTATGCCTTTCAGTTATACTCACTGACGCGGATGCTGCAGCGCAAACCAAGCAAACAGGACTACCAGTTATGGTTGAAAACCAAAAGGTACAGTTCTGTTGAAACTCAAGCCCCCGCCAGGGGAGACATTCATGTTATTTAGTTCAGCCACTCGAGTGGTGTTTGGTGGTTTGCCGGGGCCACTGTATCGTTCTTCGTCAATTTCCCAAGTGAATTAACACGTCATGTGTAGAGACACGGGGTGGTTAAGGACAATGCATGGGTAAACTTCGGTCCAATTTACACTGGTTACGAACCTACTGTGAGACTCCGGCTGCAGGATATTTGCGCTATGTGTGCATGCTGCTTCTGTTAACTGGCTCAGACAATCTTCGTGGTTATGGTTGGCTAAATAAGTCCGAAATAACGCTCTATCAAGCCATACCCAC